AGATATATATATATAGTGTGTGTGTGTGTGTGTGCACGCTCATGTGTGTGTAGGTGTGTATGTGTGTGTGTGTATTCCATTAGCTCAGACCAGCCTTGACCATCCTATGTAACAGGTAACAGGAAATAATCTTGAACTTCTAATTCTTCTACCTCTGCCTCCTGAGTGCTGGGATTACAGGTAGACACCATCATGCCCAGTTTCTCCAGTGCTGAGTCAGACACAGGGACTCATATACACCCTAGGCAAGTACCCTGCCAATGGAAGGGTATCCCAAGCCCCAAAGAGTCTCTTCTTCACTCTGTTTTAGTGCTGGGCATTGGATCCAGGTCCTCACAGGAGCTAGGCTAGTGCACTGCTACTAAAATGTATCACGTCTCCTTTTGTTCCTTTGTTCCTTTCTTTCTTTCTTTCTTTGTCTCTCTTAACTTCTCAGTAAGTCTCCCAGGAGGGCCTTGAATTGATCACAGCCTTTCTCTCACTGGCCTCTCAGGTATCTGAGATTGTAAGCCTGCCCCACCACGCCTAGCTTCTCTGGTTCCCCTGTGATTGAGTCTCTTATACAGGACCAATGTGAAAAGGCTGGTCAACTGCACTGTCACTTGAGGGACAGACCTGAGAGTAAGCCCTGTCTGGATAGAGTGGCAGAGGTGACCAATGGGGGATGACTGTGTCTAGGGACAAGGATGTTGAACTCCTAGTGTCTCCTGGCCAAAGGACAGAGGACAGACCAAGTACAGTGTCAGGGATCAGGCTGGGGGCGAGGGGTGGGGGGAGACTGGTAGTTATAAATTGTGTGTGATATGGATGGCCTCTCACAGACTCTGTGGGCACCTCCACTCTGTCTACTGTGTCCTGTTATTATTAGGGGACCTTATGCAGGCTTGGTATGCCTAAAGCTAGCAAATGCCTTGACATGAGACCCCAGAAGCTACCAAAGCATAAGTCGGGTCCCTGAGTGTGAACCTGACCTTGGGACCCCATCTGGTGAGACAGCTTTGGGTCCTTCTTGGTGATAGAATGAATATTCTCTTTTGCCAGAGGGCAGCCAAGATAACAGAGATGAGGTAGACACTAGACCCTCCTCCCACCCCACCCATTCTCTGTAGAGCCCTTCCAGGGAAGAACGGAGCACCTCCCCCACCCTGCCCCTTCCTCCCCCTGACACACACCCCAGCACTGAGCATCCTTGAGTTGCACCACAGGAAGACACAGGCATTGCCCAAGTTGTAGGCCTGGCCCAGCAAACCTCAAACCCTGCTGAAAAGCAGGGCAGGCTATGGGGGTCCAACTTCCTCCTTAGCTCAGAAGCCAAGGAAATCAGAGGGGGATGCAGAATGGGACACATGGCAGTGCAGTCCTGTTCAAGCTCCCCACTCTCCAGCCCCAGCAGCCTGAGTGGTGGTCAGACTCACTTCCAGGAGTGTGGGACAGTGACCATGAGGAGGTTGGACTCCAGCCTCTCCTTACGCCTGGTGTTCTTGTCTCTTAGTGATGGCTGCAGGGACTGGGGCAGGGTGGGGTTCACACTGAAGAGGAGGGAGGCAAATGTTCATAGCTATAACCGTGACCGTGCAGAACACAAGGGGAATGTGTTGGCCGTCCCTGACGGTCATTGTGGTGTCACAGAGCCCCGTGCATTACGAAGAGAGACGTAAAAACTCTCCTGAACTGCAGAGGGCATGGGAGAGATTTTGAAGGGATTTCCCACCTGGATAGCTAAAGCTGTCGTGGTGTCCAGTCTATTCTAGACTCAGTGCACGGTCTTCCTCCACCCCAGTGAGAAATGTTAGCACAGTGCTTTCTCCCCCCTCAAATGCTTACTATCATTTACACGTATTTACTTATTCATTTATTCATCTCTGTGTGTGTTTATACGTATGTAGGCTCTTGTACGCCATAGCAAGACAATGTCAGAGGTTGTTTTATCTCCTTCCACCGTGGGATTGATGTCAGGTCATAAGGTTTGGTGACAAGTGCCTAGAGCAGTTGAGCCATCTCACTGCCCCCTCCCCCCAATCTTTGCTGCCTCACTAAAGATTCCTTAGGGACTCTAAGATCTTAAGTAGTCTGTGTCTAACAGTGGGGCTCAGCCCACAGGACTACCAACAATAAGACAGAGCCCCAAAACGTCTCTACTGGAAGGTATTTTAAGGTCAAGGGAGATCCGTTATTCACAGACAATAAACACCCAGAGAGGAGGTGCCAACTTAATGTCACAGAGTTCCTTCTCAAGGCTACTGGCCCTGCCCACTTTGGAAACAGTCTTCAAAGCCCCTGTTCCCAAGATCCAGAGCTATGATCCTAAGTCTTCACCTCCTCAGGGGCAGTGACCACCTTCTTAAGTCCAGAAGCCTTTCCATCACTGTGCAGGTAGCTGCGGGGCCAGACAGAACGGAGAACAAAGTTGCGGCCATGTTGATCATTTGGACTTTCTGTACTACCTGATTTCCATCTGTCCTTGGCAAGGGCCTGCTTCCATCCTCTCTCTCTCTCTCTCTCTCTCTCTCTCTCTCTCTCTCTCTCTCTTTCTCTCTCTCTGTTTCTGTCTCTCTCTCACCCAGCCATCTCTGAAGTTCTCCTCTGCTCAGTATTTCACAGTAGCCCCTAATCACAGTGTGTTCGTTACATTTGCATAGCTAAGGCCGAGGGAGGCTGGGCAGATGGCCCAGCTGGTGAAGTGCTTGCCAGGCAAGTGTGAGGCCATAATGGGCCCCCAGAAGAAGCAGGGCGCGGTGGCCTGGGCCTTTAATCCCAGCACTGGGAACATAGAGATGAGGGGATCCTTGGGCTCTCTACCCTTATCAGTGAACACCCGGTTTAATGAGAGACCGTGCCTCAAACAACAAGATGGAGGGGCTTGAGCGACCGCTCAATGGTTAAGAGCCCTGGGCATCTTTGTTGTAGATACCTAAATACACAAGAAGGAAAAACGGAAAAGCATCTGCTTTGTACGTCCAATGAACTTAAAAAGTCATCCAGCTTTTGATCACCTATTGCTAACTGTGCATTTCAATTAAGACCCAAACCATTGATATCAGGAAATTTGTCCAAGGGTTTAGGGTGTTTTTAAATTTATTATGATTGATTGATTGATTGGTTGATTTACTTATTGGGAGAGTAACACACACATACCATAGTGAATGTATAGACGTAAGAGGACAACTTGTAAGACTTGGTTCTTTTTCTACCATGTGGATGTCAGGGTTTGAACCCGGGTCAGTAGAGCTTGGCAGCAAGTACCCTTTTCTACTGAGCCATCTTGCTGGCCCCTATAAATGTGATGGCTAAAAAACAAAAAAAGTTTCTTGGGGCCAATGGCATAGCTTCGTAGCAGGATATATGCTTAGGGTATTCAGAGCCCGGCATCCAATTCATGAAATAAATAAATATTGTATTTCAGTGCTAAAGCATAATCAAGATAGAGAGTTACAGAGAACTTCTGCCCTCCACACACTCTTGAAACATGCATATATGCATGCATGTGCACACATACATACACACTCACCACCTA